AAAGTATTATCCTAAGTGAAACAAGCCAAACAGAGAAAGACAAATTTCATATGATCTCACTTATTTGTGGAATATAATGAACATAACAGTTTGAGGAACGGGGTAGTTTCAGAGATGTGGAAGCGGGGTACAGACTGACAATCCCCTAAGGAATGGGGAGGTGGGGGAGGGATGAACCACAGAACTTATACGCATGTATGCATGAAGAGTGGACATGGACAACAATTTGGGGAAGGGGCAGGGAGGGGAGGGAGATGGGGGAATCAGTGGGGGGAAAAAGGAGAATCATCTGTAACAAAAATTAATTAATAAAAAATAAATTAAAAAAAAAAGAAAATGGAGGCAGAGTAAATAGAAGCTCCCAGGACCAAAGGGGAATTACAACTAAAATAAAGACAAATCCTTGAAAAAAAGCAACAGAAAAGCAGCAGGACAGGACCATATAACCAGGGACATTGGTAGGATCTGTGGAGGCACGAGAGGGTGGTGGGCTGGGAGCCCACAGACAGCAGCAGTCTTACCTGTTAACAGCACCCTTGGGGAATAAAGGCCAAGCCCTCTCCACAGTGCAGAGAGCCAGGACAGAACGATAAAATAGCTACAGCCACTCACTTGAGGATTATGCCAGAGGGAGGGCAGACTGGGCTGCAACTCTGTGGGTACAACCGGAACTTGGAGGGCACTCAAGAGGTTTTGCTGATTTGCAGCCATAAAAGATGGTAGACAGTGTGCTCCTTCCCCGAGATGTGGGGAAAGCAGTAGCCCCCCTCCACTTCCCTGCCTCAAAGATTCAGCCTTTTCCAAATGAGGCAAAGAAGTGCAAATTGAGGCTCATTAACAACCAGCATCTATTTCACTCTCCAAATCCTCTTATGCAGAACACCAGGGCTACATTCCAAGACACTGAATAACTGAGACTACTAGCCTCCAGGAGAAAGCTAGAGGATAACTGAACCTTTCCTGGGCTTGCAAATCTACTGGAAAGTAAGACTGGACAGTGTTATTTAACGTGGGCCCGCCCAGGCCTATCTAAACCCAGTAGAGGGAGCCACAAACAGCAGAACACCAACACCCACAGGGAAAATTTGGCAGGCTCCTAAGCCCACTGACATAGCCAAAATGGTGAAATAAAGAAAAAAATCCCAAATGAAAGAACAAGAGAACTCTATTGAAGATGAGATAAATAAAATGCAGCTACACAAATTATCAGAGGTAGAGTTCAGAGCCATGATCTTGAGGAAGCTCCACAGCATGCATAAGAACATCAGCACCATGAGTAAAGATATAGAAATATTGAAAGCCAACCAAGTGGAAATGAAGAATGACATAGCAGAAATTAAAAACACATTGGAAGGACTAATCAGTAGAGTAGAGGAAGCTGAGGACCAGATCAGTGTATTAGAATACAAGGTAGAAAAAATTAACCAATCAGAAAACCAAAAGCAACCAACAATTAAAAAACAGGAAGATAGCTGAGAATTGTGGGACAACTGGGAATATAATAACATTCACATCATAGGAGTCCCAAAAAGGAAAAAAATGGGCAAGGGTTAGAGAATTTATTGGGAGAAATAGTGACAGAAAACTTTCCTAACATGGTGAAAGAAGAAGACATTCAAGTTCAAGAAGCACAGAGAGCCCTAAGTAAGAAGAAGCAAAACAGGCCCACACCAAGACAGATAGTAATTAAAATGCCAAAAATTAAAGAAAAAGAGAGAATCCTAAAGGCAGCAAGAGATAAGCAACAGATAACCTACAAAGAAAACCCCATAAGGCTCTCAGCTGACTTCTCATCAGAAACACTACAGGCCAGCAGGGAGTGGCATGAAGTAATCAAGGTCATAAAAAAACAAGGATCTGAATCCAATACTACTCTACCCAGCAAGGCTGTCACTCAAAATAGAAGGTCAAATAAAGAGCTTCCCAGACCCCCCCCCCCAAAAAAAAAAAAAGACTAAGGGAATATATTAGCACCAAATAAGCAGACACAGAGTAGCTGACTGGATAAGAAAGCAAGACTCACATATATGTTGTTTACAAGAGACCCACCTCACAACAAAAGACTCACATAGGTTGAAAGTGAAGTGATAGAAAAAAAAAAATTCCAAGCAAATGAAAAAAAAAAAACAAAAAAAACTGGGGTAGCAATACTATTATCTGATAAAGTAGATTTAAAAATGAAGACCATAACTAGAGACAAAGAAGGCCTCTACATAATATTGAAAGAATCTATCCAACAGGAAGATATAACCTAGGTGAACATATATGCACCCAATATAGGAGCACCGACACATATTAAAAATCTTCTGGAGGACTTCAAAAGAGAAATCGACAGCAATACAATTATAGCAGAGTACTTCAACACCCTGCTGACATCACTGGATAGATTATCTAGACAAAAAATTAACAAGGAAACACAGTCTCTAAATGAAGTGCTAGATCAAATGGATTTAATAGATATCTACAAAGAATTACACCCCAAAACTGCATAATTTCATTCTTCTCAAGTGCACATGGGACATTATCAAAGATAGACCACATGTTAGGGCACAAACTAAGTCTCGACAAGTTCAAGAAGATTAAAATCATATCAAGCATCTTCTCAGATCACAATGGTATGAATCTAGAAATCAACTGCAATAAGAACATGCAAAGACATTGGAACACATGGAGGCTAAATAGCATGTTACTGAACAATGAATGTGTTACCATGGAGATCAAGGAAGAAAATGAAAACTTCCTGGAAAACAATGAAAATGGACACACAACAACACAAAATCCAACAACTAAGATCTGGAAACAGCTCAAATGTCCATCAGTAGTGGTACATACATACAATGGAATACTATGCAGCTGTAAGAAAGAAAGATCTCTTATCCTTTGAGACGAAATGGAGGGACCAGGAAAGTATCATCCTAAGCGAAACAAGCCAAACAGAGAAAGACAAGTATCATATGATCTCACTTATTTGTGAAGAATGGGATAGTCCCAGAGACGTGGAAGTGGGGTACAGACTGACAATCCCCAGAAGAGGGGATGGTGGGGGAGAGATAAACCACAGAAGTTATATGCATGTGTGCATGAGTAATGAACAGGGCGGGGAGGGGGGAGAGGGTAATCAGTGGGAGAAAAAGGAGAAGCATCTGTAACAAAAATAAATTAATTAAATAAAAAAAAGTTTTATACATCCAGGCACATTAATTTTTCCATATAAAAGAAAACACTGACTATCCTTATATTGGGTATACTAAAGAAGGCTTGCTCATAAATTAACCATTGTGAAATATTTACTTGTTGAGAGAGTGAATTTTTCAGGACAATATCTTAATGGTTGTATGATATTCATTAGTGCTGTAATTAACCTCTAATGTTGGAAATTTAGGTATTACTATTATCAGTAGTAACACAGCAAGAAAGGCACAAAGGCCAAAGGTTTTTCTGAAAAGATTCCTAGGAGTGAAAGTATCTGGTTAAAGAGCATGAATAGTTTACAGTTCTTGGTATAAATTGCCAAATTGAGTGGATTCTATCAGCAATAAATCAAAGGTTTTATTTTCGTGCCATATTTGCCAGCATTGGAGTTTCTTATTAAAAAGTAAAGGAATAATTTCATGGGTTAAAATGGCATTTCATTGTCGTTTTGACTTCTTTATTGGTGAAGGTGAATATTTCTTTATGTAGATTATTGGCCAGTGGATTTTTGTGTGTGAATTTATTTATGTCTTTGGCCCATTTAGCTATAGGGTGAGGGATTACAATATAAATTATTATTGATGAGTTATTGGTTTATACTAGTATAACTAATTTATAGATTATATTAGGCAGAGTCCCCATTCACTCAATTTTAATGAGAAATCTTCTCTTCTATTCTTTGTTTGTTGTAGTGCAGCATTTTTTAAACAGAAATTTCAAGTTTTTATGGTCACACTTAAATCTGTTGGTCTTCCATTGATTTAACACTTAGTTCTTGCTCATCAAAAAATTAAATAATGTTCACTTAAATTTCTTAGATATGTTTGTGGGTTTTTATATTTCATTCCTCAATCCATCTGGGACCCCATGCATTTTTTATGTAAATAAGACTATTTATCCTCCCTGACCCAGTATTATACAGACTCAGAATGTTTATCTTTTTTACTTGACAGAGATTAACCAACTAACAAATTTGTCACTTTGATACCTTAATTTTACTTTTCTCAATATTAAGCCAGTAAACATTGTTCTGAGGGTACTATACTAATCAATTTTTTAACTTTTTAATAGTCATTTTTGTTGCACAGAGACACATGCATGTGTGTATGTGTGTGTTTCAGATGGATAAGTTTGCTGAAATGTATCAGTGTGGTGATAGCAACAGTATTTTAAAAAATAATCACTGCTGATTTCTTATTTTAAGAATTATACATATATGCACGTTGCATAAATATACATGTACACACACACATATTTATTTTAGAAAATAAGAAAACAGAGAGGAATCCAAAAAAATCTCCATATTGCCACCACTTACCTAAAAGTTGATATAATGTGTTTATCTTTTTCTATCATGCATATACAAGCAATCATACCATATGCTTCTTGCATTTATTTATTTAAATAGTGGGTAGGTAGAATGTAATATCCAGATTATTATCTAAAAGACATGTCGATTCAGTATTAGATCTAGATAAGAACCATGTATTACTGTGAATTAATGATTTGGAACAAACTTACTTAAAGCTAGGTAACCATCTCAATTCTTCGTCTGGTAGCTTAAGTAATATGTATTTATAGTAGAGGCCAATTAGAGTGGTTAATACAACTTTGTAGGTTATTGGGAAACAATCAGGTGCTTAGATATTTCTTGGAATATACATAACCTTATATTTCCTGAATCACCCCTTAAAGGTGCTAAGAGAGAGACAAGTGAATAAAAGGTAATAACCATTTTAGGTTATTCCTAGAAAATGGGTTTTGTTGGTGTCATGTGGATATATGTAAGATATGTCCATCTTTCTTAGGAAGTTGTACGGTTCCTGGATACCAAGCATCGAAACCACTATCAAGTCTACAATCTTTGCAGTATGTATATGACTATTTTCCTACTAAATATAGAAAACAGATCACTACACACAAGATGGCTCAATTTTTACATTTTATTTAATCATAAGCATTTGGTGGTGGTGGGAAGTGAGTTTAAAAATCCCCATCTTGTGCTGGCCCTACTTGGTAGGAAAAGGTAGCTCACCAGCACCAAGTGCCCTGTGGGGTAGGCAAGGAGGCTGAAGTGGAGGTGGAGCTGTGTTAGGAAGAGTCTAGTTTAGTGGTATTAAGTTTAGAAAACTACTTCTGTTTTTCCTGCCAGTTTGTGTTTTGAAGACAGATCATTCAATTAATGCATTCTCTAACCCACTAGGGGTGGGATGTGAGGAGAGCAGGGCTCTACACAAAAAAACAAAATCTATAGGAAACATTATATTCCAGCTTACTACTCTGTCACTCTTGATTTTGCCTCTTTCTATACATTAGACATTTTCAGGGGGCAAGCAATTTTGTTGGCCTCATTTACTTCTGCTCTGTGGTGTCTAACTACCCTAGCATAATGTGATGAGTAGCCTGCTAGAAAATTAAAAGTAAGGCCTATTAAACAAATTAAAATAAGTTGGACTTAGGTTATAAAGATGGACAAACTACTCCTACCCTTATGTTTTTGAGACCCTTAAGTGTCTTTTAGTGTAGCAGGAACTGACAGAAAGCTCCTTTTAAGGTGAATAAGGAATTTCTAATGGAAAAGTATAACATTCATAACTTGATAGTTTACTATGTTTATTAAGTATAGAGCTATGACCCATGTATCATTTATTTTAGGTGAAAAAGCTTATGATCCTAAGTACTTCCATTATAGGGTCCGTCGAATCATGATTGATGATCATAATGTTCCTTCTTTGAGGTAAGTTTTATGCCAAGTTGGCTGTTAGAAGTGGGCTAAATACATGGGGCTTGATTTTTTGGAAGTCTTTTTATTCAACTAAAAATCTTACATTTGAAATCAGTGAGATGCTGGAATTTTCCAAAGAAGTACAGAATTGGATGGCTCAAGATAGTAAAAACATCGTAGTGATTCACTGTAAGGGAGGCAAAGGTAAAAAACATTTTTTTTATTTCTCTTTTTCTAAAGAAATTAGAAAAATGTATTAAAATAAAAGAACAAGACACATACTGCTATTAATCAGTATTAATAGTTGTTAACATTTTAAAATATTAACTTTAAGACTGAAAGAAAACAAGGAAAGAGGGAGATAGGGAAAGAGGAAGAAAGGAAACAGGCATAAAAGAACTAAGGAAGGTTGAGCATATTTTCCCTTCTTTACTGACTATTTTGGTTTTTCATTTTTGATTTGCAAAAATATCAGTCAAAATAAAAACTTTTTAACTTTAGAAACTGTAAGAGAACTTTTATTTTATTTAAGATTTTTCTTTAACTTTGTAAGGACCTTTTAAGGTTAAAATAGCCAATAGCAATGCTATTTCATAAACCAAAAATTATCTGAAATGTTTATAATATAATGATACAAAGAAGTTGGTTTTAGTGGGGGTAAAGAAATTTTAAAAGCCATTTGTAAATCCAACCAATTTAAGTTGAGATCGGTTTTCTCTCATTCAGCTTTAGGCTTTTAATAGTCATCTAAGCAAACCCTACAATTTTGGACAAAGAATTACATTTTTGGTGAACTGTAAAATATTTTTTATACTGAATTCCAGGAAAACACAATACTTTAAAATTGTCTTATATGATTGAATAGAATCAAGTTTTAGTCTTATATGAAAATTAGTTTGAAGCCCATTAGTATTAGGCAAGTTCTATTGTTAGTTCCACAGGCTGAAATATTCTGAATATAGTGGCAAATTACAATACATGGATAAAGAACATAGAGGTTAAACCATTTGGAATTGCCAGTTTTTGAGTTTTCTTTACTTATAAAATGGCCACTTCACATGGCTCTTAGTGTAAGCAATTGACCTCAGTTTTCTGTTATTTAAAGCAAAGTCTCTGCCTGAAGGAAAGTGTTCATTTCAAATTAAAATTTGTTGTTGTTGTTATTGGGAGGGGATTCATACTATTCTGTGTTCACATGTTTTTCATTGGCATTCCTTTGGGATTGTTTGGAGGGCTGGTATTCAGCTGGTATGCACTAGAGTAACATCTTTTTCAAGTTGTCATTCATATTGCTTTTGCTCTCATTAGTTGGTGCCTGCACATTACTGGTAGTGTGATACTCAAAATATTTTATTATTGATTTATGGGACTTATTTAAATAATCTGAATGCTAAATTTTTATTAGTAATTAATATTGCAATATCTTCTCCCACTGTCTTGTCCTTTACATTTGATTATGATTTATTTTATCATATAGATGTTTGTAATTTACATTGTGAAATTTATCAACCTTTTTGTGTTTGTGGTTTGTGCTTGTCATGTTAAAGTAATCCACCTGTACAATAACGTAGTAAAGATATTCTACTTATAAAATACTAAAATTTAATTTTTTACATTTGGGTCTTTAAGCTCACTGGAATTTGAGAAGGAGTTTTTGTTTGTTTGTTTTTTACATATGGTTAGACCATTGTCCCAACACACTCGATTGCATTCTTCATTGACTTGTAATCCCTTCTCAGCCATATACCAAGTTTTCACAAATGTTTGGGACTATTTTTGAATTCTTCAACCACACTGTTATAATTTTATAGTTTTTAATATATTTTGATTAATACAGAATGGTCTTGCCCCTTCTTACATTTAATTTTAGAATCATTTTATCAAGTTCTACATTAAAATATGTTTAGAATTTTTATTGGAACTGTGTCAAGTTTGTAGATTCATTTGAAAAAACTGACAATATTAAGTTTTACCAAATAGTTTTCTATTTATTTAAATCATCTTCCTTTCAATATTATTTTATACTTTTTTTCATGGTGGTCTTAAATATCTTCTGTTTAATTTATTCTTAGGCATATTGCCACTGCAAATGGAAACTTTTTTTTCTGTTACATTTGGATTGGTTCCAGTTTTTACTCTTATAAATAATGCCGCTATGAAATATATGTTTCTTGTGCCCCCCTTTCTATTGAGTATATACCTTGGACTAAAATCATTGTGCTTTAAGTTAATGAATCTCAAACTTTTGTAGATAATGTCATCTGTGTTCTGAAACAGTTGTACAGATTTACACTCCACTGGCAATGTAGAAAAGTCTATGTTCCACATCTTTACCATATCTTTGTACTTTTAGTCATTGGGTGGGTGTGTAGTTATATCTCATGATGGCTTTTTTCATTTGCATTTCTATGATTACTAATAAGGTGGAGAAAGTGTTCATAGGTTTATTAACCACCTTTTGTTGTAAAGGTTTGTTTAATTTCCTTATTTTTTTCCCAGTTGACTGAATATGAATTCTTTTTTTTATCCATGAATTCTTAATGTATTCCAGATTTCAACCCTGTTATTTGTTATATGTACTGCACTGTAATTTTCTTTTTCTTTCACTTATGAGTATCATTTGGTTAACAGACGTTCAATGCACTATATTGTTCTTTCTCTTTATAAGGTGTTTTTGTGTCCTTGTGTGTTTAAAAGGCATTTTCCTATATAATCTTATAGAAGGTTTATTCCATTTGAAATTGATTTTTATGTGTGGTGTGAGGAAAGGGTCAAGTTTCATCTTTTTTCATATGACTATCCAATTGTTTCAGCAGACTGATTGGACTTTCATTTCTTTACTGTTCTGCAGGACATGGTCTGTTTCTGAACTTTCTATTCTGTTCATTGGTCTTTCCTTTATCTGTATGCCAGTAGCACAACTATCTTACTTACTATAGCTTACTAATATTCCTGATTTCCAGTCGAAGGACTCTACTCATCTTGCTCTTCTTCACAATTGTTTGGGTCTTATTAGGCCATCTACATTTCCATATAAATTTAATAATCAACTAGTCAAATTACACACACACACACACACACACACATACACACTTGATTCCATTTTGTTTATGATAATGTACCTGGTAGTTATTTTGGTAGATTTTCTTCATCAAGTTAAGGAAGTTTCCTAGTTTTTCTTTATTTTTAAAATTATGAATATATACTGAATTTTAATGAGTACTTTTTCCTGCACTTACTGAGATGATTACATTGCATTGAATATGCAGATTGAAGAGAACTGAAATCTTTACAATATTGAGTCTTCTATCCATGAAGGGAGATAGCCCCTCATTTAGTTAGGTGTTCTTCAATCTCTCTTTATAATTTTTTTCATTTTCTGTATATAAAGCTTGTATATTTTTGTTAGATTTATTCATAGATATTTGATATTTTTATACAAATATTAATTATATTCTTTAAAATTTTTTATTTATCTAAGTGTTTTTGTTATTCTAAATGCAATTTATTTTATTAAACTTGCAATCAGCAACTTTATTAAACTCTTCTTAAATCTACTAATTTATCTATAAATTTTTATTTCATTTTATAGTAAACAATTATATCATATAAAGATAATGAATTGTATTTTTACCTTTTCAATTCTTTTCTCTCCCCTAACACTGGCTAGAAACTTCAGTGCAGTGTTGAATTAGAGGTAGTAATAGCAGACATCCTTGTTCTGTTCCTGCTGTCAAAGTTTCATCATCTCACCAACTACTTTAAGGAATGTGTGTGTGTGTGTGTGTGTGTGTGTGTGTGTGTGAGAGAGAGAGAGAGAGAGAGAGAGAGAGAGAGAGCTGGCAAGGGCAAAATAAGAAACCATCATCATAATTACTTTTAGTTATTGATTTCTGGTTGTACTGCATTATACTTAGAGAACATATTATATATTCTTTTAGTTCTTTGAAATTTGTTTACTAGTTTTATGGCCAGAATTTGGTCAATTTTATCAAATATTTTCTGTGCACTTGAAAAGAAAGTATATTATGCATTATTATGAACAGTGTTCTAAATGTGTCCATTAAGTCATTGGTTAATTTATTGATTCAAATCTTCTATATCTTTAGTGACATTTTATTTTGGTTTGATGAAATATTTTACAATGTAATTTCTCCTTCCCATCCACCACCATTAGCTTGGAAGTTCTAGACTGGTTTTATATGCCTTTATTAATTACTCTAAAGATTTCAACCTACATCCTTCATTTAGCTATTGGCTTTTTTTTTTTTTTTGACCTTGTATTTAGCAATCTTCCTGAAGTCTCTCATTAGTTTTAGGAGTTAGTCTACAGATGTAATTGGATTTTAATATTCTGAAAATAATGAAAGTTTGTCTCTTCTGTTCTTATCCCTATAGTTTTTGTTTCTTTTGCTCACCTTAATACACTGGCTAAACCCTGTAATACAGTGTTAATAGAAGCAGTGAGTAATGTACATTTATGTGTAGTTCCTGGCTTTAAAGAAAATGCTGTCAACATTTTATCAGTAATATGATGTACCTGGTAGTTATTTTGGTAGATTTCCTTCATCAAATTAAGGGAGTTTCCTAGTTTTTTTTTTTTTAATTATGAATATATACTAAATTTAGTGAATACTTTTTTCTGCACTCACTGAGATGATTACAAGGTATGCTTTTAATTTGTAAATATGATATAGATTTCTGATATAAGATGATCCTTGCATTCCTGAGATAAATGGCACTTGATGGTGATATATATTTGTTCTACATTGTGAGAGTCACTCTGAAGAAATTTTAATCAATTTTTTTACATCTATATTCATAAGTGAGACAAGTATAAAATTATTTTTTCTTCTATTATATTTGTGCAGTTTGAGCATCAGTTATACTAGTATTATCAAATAACTTGGGAGTTTTTCTTTTTTGCCTATTATGTTAAAAATTATAAAAGACATTACCAGACATCAGATTATACTACAAAGCCACTGCAATCAAAACAGCCTGGTACTGGCAAAAGAACAGGCACATAAATCAATGGAACAGAATAGAGAACCCAGAAATGGACCCAAGACAACATGCTCAATTAATATTTGACAAGGGTGGAAAGAGCATACAGTGGAATCAAGACAGTCTCTTTAGTAAATGGTGTTGGAAAAAGTAGACAGTTACATGTAAAAAAATGATGCTAGACCACCAACTGACAC